TGATACTAACATGTTTTGTATTTGTTATCTTGTTCACTTTTAATAATGTGCTTGTTAAATAGTTAATCTAGATTTATGTTATATAACATTTGATATAACAAATACTTAGCACTTTCATAACCCAACTGTATGGTATAACCGACACATGTCCTATGAAAGGAACTTGATTTGTTGTTAATATAAGTTATAATCATGAATCCCTGACAACATTTACAACTATTAGCTTTATTTAAATAAGACAACTAATGTAATCATGTTAACAATTTATAATCTGATTGGAACCTCCTTTGTGTGTGGTTTCCATTTAATTAATAAAAAGAGTTTATACTATACTTGTATGAAATACCATTAGTGGATTATCTAACCTTAACATTTATTTTTATCATTGTTTAATATTTATATTAATTTTACATCTCAAAGTCCTCTTTAACTTATTATTGTTGTTGTTGTTATTGTTATTTATAATTTATATAGTCAACCACCTTGTGGTTTGACCCCGGTTTTGTTAGGTTATTTATTACTTCAACACTCCTACACTTGGGAGAAAAAATTAATCTTTTGATTGTGTCAACCTCGCACCCTAGATTTGACATTCCTTATTTTTTCACTGTTATGAGAGATTGTTTGAAACTTTATGTTAAAGAGAAGGAAAGATTAAAAAGAGCTCTTAAGGGTCAACGATTATGTTTAACAACAAATACATGGAAATTAATCCAAAATATTAACTATATGTCCATAACGACTTATTGGATTGATAATGAGTGGAATTTGATAAAAAAAAATTCTGAATTTTTGTCAAGTTTTCAATCATATAGGTGAGACAATTGGTCAAGTTATTCAGAATTATTTGTTACAATAGGAGATTGATAAACATTTAACTGTTATAGTAGATAATGCAAGCTCTAATAATGTTACTATTTCATATTTAAAAAATATGATGAAAGATTGGCCAACTAATAAATTGTCAATGAACATTTGCTTGTTAGATGTTGTGCACACATTGTAAACCTCATTGTGTGTGATGGTTTGAAAGATATTAATATTTTAGTTATTAAGATTCGAAATGCAATTAGGTTTGTGACACGACTAAAAGATTGATGTCTTCTCCCAAGTGCAGGAGTGTCGAAGTAATAAATAACCCGACAAGACCGGGGTCGAACCACAGGGAGATTA